AAAACTATAAAACCTTTAAGGAAAAAGAAAGTCACAATAAAGTCTTTGGGATCTAGAGCTAGCGAAAGAGTTCTTAGACTTAACCAAAAGACATGATCCATGAAAAAGAAAAAATTAATTGGACTTCACCAAAATTAAAGACTTTTGCTCTGTGAAAGACTTTGATAAGAAGATGAAAAGACAAGCTATAGACTGGGAGAAAATATTTGCCAACCACCTATCTGACCAAGGACTGGTATCCAGAATATATAAAGAACTGCCAAAACTCAACAATAAAAAACCAACAATCCAATTAGAAAATGGGCAAAAGATACAAACAGACATTTCACCAAAGATGACATTCAGACGGCAAATAAGCACATGAAAAGATGTTCAATATCATTAGCCATTAGAGAAATGCAAATTAAAACTACAGTGAGACATCAGTACATACATATTAGAATGGCTAAAATAAAAAATAGTGACAATACCAAATGCTGACAAAGATGCAGAGAACCTAGATCATGTATACATTGCTAGTGAGAAAGTAAAATGGTACAGCCACTTTAGAAAACAGTTTGGCAGTTCCTTAAAAAACTAAACATGTATTTCTATACTCTAATAACGAACTACCAGAAAGAGAACTCAAGAATACAATCCCATTTACAATCGCAACAAAAAGAATAAAATATCTAGGAATAAATTTAACCAAGGAGGTGAAAGACCTATACAATGAAAACTGTAAGACATTACTGAAAGAAATCGATGATGACATAAAGAAATGGAAAGATATGCCATGCACATGGATTGGATGAATAATCATAGTTCAAATGTCCATACTACCTAAAGCAATCTAGAGATTCAATGTAATCCCAATCAGAATCCCAATGACACTCTTCATGGAAATAGACCAAAGAACCCTGAAATTCCTATGGGGCAACCAAAGACTCTGAATAGCTAAAGCAATCCTGAGAAAGATGAACAAATCTGGAGGTATCACAATCCCTGACTTCAAAATCTATTACAAAGCCATAGTAATCAAAACAGCATGGTACTGGTGCAAAAACAGGCACATAGATCAATGGAACAGAATTGAAAGCCCAGATTAAAACCACACATCTACAGACAGCTAATATGCAACAAAGGAGCGAAGAACATACAATGGAGAAAGGAAAGTCACTTCAATAAATGGTGTTGGGAAAACTGGACAGCCACATGCAAAAGAACGAAAGTAGACCATTATCTTTTGCCATACACAAAAATAAACTCAAAATGGATCAAAGACTTGGGTAAGACCTGAAACCCTAAAACTCCTGGAAGAAAATATAGGCAGTACACTCATTGATATCGGTCTTAGAAAGGATATTTTTGAATCATGTCTATTCAGACAAGGGAAACAAAAGAAAAAATAAACAAGTGGGACCTCATCAGATTAAAGAGCTTCTGCAAGGCAAAGGAAACCAGGATCAAAATGAAAAGACAACCTACCAACTGGGAGAAAATATTTGCAAATCATATATCCAACAAGGGGTTAATCTCCATAATATATAAGGAACTCATACAACTGAACAACAAAAAACCAAACCACCCCACCAAAAAGTGGGCAGAGAATATCAACAGATATTTTTCCAAAGAAGATATGCAGATGGCCAACGGGAACATGAAAAAATGTTCAACACCACTAATCATCAGGGAAATGCAAATCAAAAGTACACTAAGGTATCACCTTACACCTGTTAGAATGGCTATAATCACCAAGACAAAAAATAACAAACGTTGGAGAGGTTGTGGAGAAAAGGGAACCCTCATACACTGTTCATAGGAATGCAAACCAGTGCAGCCACTATTGAGAACAATATGGAGATTTCTCAAAAAATTAAAAATAGAAATACCACATGGCCCAGCTATCCCACTACTGGGTATTTATCCAAAGAACTTGAAATCAACAATTCAAAGAGACTTATGCACTCCTATGTTCATTGCAGCATTATTCACAATAACCAAGACATGGAACAACCCAAGCACCCATCAACTGATGATAAAGAAGATGTGGTGTGTATATATATATATATATACATACATACATACATACATACAGTGGAGTACTACTCAGCCATAAAAAAGACAAAATTGTCCCATTCACAACAACACGGATGGACCTTGAGGGCATTATGTTAAGCAAAAATAAGCCAGATAGAGAAAGACAAACTCTGTATGATTCCACTCATATGTGGAAGATAAACCAATACACAAAGAGAACAGTTCTTTAGTTACCAGGTGGAAGGGGGTTGGGCAGTGGGCACAAGGGGTGAAGGGGCGCATTTAATATGGTGACTGACAAATAATAATGTACAACTGAAATTTTACAACATTATAAACTATTATGATCTCAAAAGAAAAAAAAACAAAAATCTAAACAGTCAACTACCAAACAACCCCGCAATTGTACTCCTTGGCATTTATTCCAGAGGAATGAAGACTAAAGTTCACACAAAAGCATGTACTTGAATGTGGTGATGGAAATGTTCTGTATCAATGTCAATATCCTGGTTGTGATATTGTACTATAGTTTTGCAAGATATTATTACCATTAGGGGAAAATGGAACATGGGATCTCTGTATTATTTCTTACAACTGCATATGAATACACAATTATCTCAATTAAAAGAGCACATATAAAATGATCCCATTTTTATAAAATCTGCATATTAATAGAGAAATGTCTGGAAACATGTACAAGAAAAGAGTAATAGTGGTTATCTCTGTTGGTGAGATGATGGGTGATTTTTCAATTTCTTCATATATTCACATATTACCAAAGTTTTTTCAATGAGCATCCTATACTATAATAGTAAGGAAAAAACAAAACTATTTTTATTATGAAAAAGAGAATACATGCTCACTGTATACATTTTTTTCCACCGAACATTTTACTATATTAATTCTTCAAAATATCATTTTAAAAGCTGTTTTACATTCCCTTACACTGATTTAGCAATTTTACCATTTCTCTCTTACAAGGACTTAAGATTGTTTCTAATTTCTTATTGTTAAAAAAAAAACAAAAACACAATAATAGATTCCCTCTACCGGAACCTTCACTTGCATCTCTGATTATACCCTACAGCCGGACCTCCAGTCATGGAGTTAATGGATCATTGAATTAGGGATACTGGAACATAATGAAAAATTACTTTCCTGAGCAACTATGAATTTACGTCCCCATCATTAGTGTAGGAGTAAGAGACCACTTCACTCTGAGAATTTGCCAAGGTTGTGTTCACATTCCAAGCTCCACAGATCAAATAAGTATGGAAAACAGACATACTAACTTCATACAGCCACATTAAGGCATAATAAAATTGACTTCATACCACTCTTTTATTTTGCACAATGTAACATTATGGGTCTTGTTCACTCCTCTTCGTTTCTTAACTTCCAGAAAGTGCAAACTTCTTAGCCCGATATCCAAAGCCTACCTTTTTCACTGTGTTCACTTGGCTCCAGCCACTCTCACCTCCTTGCTGTTCCTCCAACTCCTCTCGCACACTTCTGCCCAAATGCTCTTGTCTGGATATGCACAGGGCTCAGCCCCTCACTGACTTCAGGCTTTGCTCAAATGTCCTCTATCAGAGGCCTTCCCATCCCACTCTGTGCAAATTAGCAACCCCCTTCTCCAGCTTCCCTCTCTGTATTTATTTGCTCTGTTTTTCTCCAGCAACCACACACTGTAAGTTTTTGATTTCCCCAACTTTTTCTGAAACTTAAAAAAAACCAAATCCTGTCCTCCAAGGCACTGCCATCCAAACTTGTACAAAGTTTTGTCTCCTTATTACAGGAACCATGATCAGCTCTAGCACAATTTATTTCTAAGCTCTCCCTCCTACAATCTTTATACTGATGTCCTTTCTCCACCTTGGCCTCCACAAATGCCAATATCCATGATCTAAAGCTGTTCATTGAGGAGCCACGTTCACGCTGCCCTCTTTGTTCAATACCCTGTGGGTCTAGATGGCTTTCTTTGCATCCTGCTCTTCACCTTTATAGCATCTAGTCTCTGTGTCCTCTACATCAGCCAAATCAACAAAGGAAGCAGTGTAAATATAATAAGCTAATTCATACTAAGGTGGGTGTGATTCAAAATGTACCTGAGAGAAAAGCAAATTCTTAGAGTTTCTAACTGGAAACAGAAAGATGTAAAATGTATGGTATGTGTTCTTAAGACATTTCCATTCCATTTATTTCTCCAAATTCCCATCTCTTTGATCTTATCATAGTCTTTCCATCTGAAAAGTCTGACTCCGGTTTAACATTATCCAAGAAGCATCTCTCTTCTGTTTGTCATTCCATTCTGCAGTGACCTCCTCCCTCTGAACAGCAAAGGATGCCTCCTTCTGTGCCTCCTCTCTAAGTGTTTTTCTACCTCAGTGACTCTCCATTTCGTAATGATTTCAGCAGAGTATGGCTTTCTCTCCTTCAAAATGTATTTGAAAGCTCCCTTTTCCTTTCCACATATCACTTCCACAGATTGTTTCCTACAGGTATTAGGAATCTGATCCATGCAATCAGTCCTATGTAAAATGCTTGCTTTTACATATCCTTACACAATTATGTTTAGAAGAAACGACTTTGAGATAAAAAATACATCCTTAAATAGAATAAAGCCGGTCTTTTCTTAATTTTCTTCTGTAATTATGATAGGTAATGCAGCGTGGTTTGCTTTCTTTTGCTGTGTACTTAGACTTTTTTCATGTTGCAATGGACTACGGATATATTCTTAATTTCGTTTTTCCTTGCAATAGGAAATAAATTAAAACAAGCTAGTCAGATTTTAAAGAAGTATATATAACATCCTGTGCTATTCCGATGGTAGAATAATTGATTTGAAAAACAGACAGTGATACTTTTCTGCATTCTACACCAAAACTTCCTGAGATACACTCAAGTGCTCACGACCACGTGACATGTGAAATATCCCCAAAAAAGCAGAATCTTCCTCCAGCGCCATGAAAACTACTCACCAGACTTTCTTGCTTTCAAGGCAATAACAGCTGCTAGCTCTCTCTGCACCTAAATAAAATATTAGGGAAAAAAATCAAATTAGAATAAGAAAAATGTAGCTATTAAAAGCAGTACTTTGTTTTTAGATATGCAACCAAAATTAAGAGCTATTGCAAATAAAGCTAAGTTGCTGCCACTTTTAGGGATTTCATTTGTTTTTAATAACATGGAAAAATTTCTGCATAGGAATTTGAGGCCCAAAATCTGGAATAATCATACTGACTGACTTCAAAAAGAAATTAGATAGTTGCCAGAGTTATTCATTGTAAAACGTTGGTATTTTTGCCATGATGATGGGAGGAGCTTCAAAAACATAATCATAAAACGATCAGAAATAATGCAAATAAATTATTAAAACAAGCATGATACTTTGGCAAAGATATTAATTATTATTTACCCCTCAAAGATTGTAGTTAATACAGAAACTCTAGTAAAATTAAGATAGGTGATCCCGGTTTAACTGGACCTCTGCTCAAACACAATGAATGTTCACTTGAAGTCTGACAGGTTTATAGCAACCATTTCGGAGAACATGCCACATAAAACAACTCCTAGGAGAGGTGAAATGGGAATAGACGAGATGGAAATAGACAAGATGACCTTTAAAATCCTAAGCGCCTTAAGCCCCACTTATTTGTCCAGATTTTTGCTTGCTCACTCTCTCTCCCACTCACACTTTGAATGCTGAAATCCTTTCCTTAAAGCATTCTCTAAGAGGAACATAAAATAGAGACAGAAAAGATAACCATGGTCACTCTCAAGATAACATGAGAAAAAAAAGATAACATGAGGATCATCTTCAGGAAATCTGTTTGGTAGCAATAAAAATTCCATAATGAGCAAGCTCCTTCCTCTTCAGGACACAGTCTTCTCAGCTTAGAAGTGTGTGTGTGTTCAGGTGTTTGGAGAGGGTAGAGACAGGGGTGGTTGTGCTGAGTTTGGAAGGGTCCTGCAGCTTTATACATTACACTAATGACGTTTTAAAGGGAGAACGTGGAAGTTCAAGGTTAATGAAGATTTGCTGTTGAAATTAATCTAATTTATATTCACTTACTTGAGGCAAAAGTAGCAATATATGCTAGAGACAGGACTCTACTTAGGACGGCTTTCACAATGGCCAGGCCGTCCTCTCCTGAAGAAGAGGAACTGCTCTTCCCGGAACTGCTTCACTGCTGTGCTTCCCCTGGCTGGCTACTACGAATGCCACTCTAAAGAGTATACTCTTGATTTAGCTGATTCTTTAATATCTTAAGACTCTCTCTGGAAAATTATACAGTAATGAGAAGACAACCAGCCTCTCTCCACCTTGGAAGTCTGAGCTCTGAAATTGCTCATGGTAGGAAAATTTGAGTTGAAGAATTTATGGGGAAAAACAGGCTTGGAGGAGACAGAAATGATGAGTGACCATAGGAAAACCTTTATAAATACTTACAGGGCTAGTCAAAAACAGCAACAAAATAAAACATCAATTATTGCATATTTATATATTGAAATCAACTGTAAGGTTCATGACAGTTTGCCATTTTCCTCCTTCATAGTGTCGCAAATACTTGGGGGTAGGGCAAAGATGCACGCTATAAACAGTCAGTGAGATCTCGTCAACGGCTCCCTGATTTTATGACCTTCCAAGGAAGATCCCACCACGGCTCAGGGACAGGGAGAAAGCAGAGAAGGAAAATGATGCACAAGGTGGATCATTTAATTCGCTCACAGAGGATGGAAAACAGTCTTCTCCACCCTCCTCTTTCAGTTTTCCACACCTGAAATTCTCTTCACGAGAGCTTCAGTTTTTCTTTCTCTAATTGGAAATAAGGCTCAAAATATAAACAGCTCAAAGAAGGAAACTACTATATTCCCAGTGTATAGTATAACACTACATCTTTTTTTTTAAACACTACATCTTTTCAAAGATTTGGTGGGGAAAGAAAAGGAGGAATGGGATCAGCAAGAAATCAATACAGCATTTTTGGGGAGCTGGGAAGGAGATGAGAGATGGCAATGAGGAAGAACTTCACAGTTTAATTTAGAAGGAACCTAAATTTTTTTTTAATATAAAATAAATGAGATTACTCTACTGTACTACACTAAATTTCCTGAATGTCTGCGGTCAGGGAGGATGTAAGAGCGTTTTATGCAGAGTGGAGTATATAATATCTTCCACGTTTCTGCCTTGGGATGGCAAAGGTTTTTGACAAAAACCCCCAAGGATAGGTTATTCTTCCTACAAAACACAAAGGACAGAGCACTGATCAAGCAAAAACACAAGCTGAGTAAGATCCATTATGCGCTCCTATAATACCTTCACAGCACTCTTTAAAAAAAATTTTTTTTAAGTACACTGGCATTTTCAATTGTATGATTAATGCCTGTCTTCTGGATGGAGGCTCCACTAAGTCAGGGACCTATTTGTCTTTTTACAGTATTATCCAGGCCAATCAACACTCATTCATTGACCCGCAGGAGGTGGATGCATAGGCAACCTTAAAAGAACACAGAAAGGACCTAGGGGACAGAAAAAGCTGCCTGAGGGAGAACAATGAAAATCAGAAGAGAAGCATTCCCCACTAATAAGCTAGTGCCAGCAAGAATCTTCAGAACATACTAGAAGAACTCAAGGACTACTTAGCAAATAACTGTCAGGTTTACATTGAAAACTAAAACTTTGAGCAACTGTAGAAAGAGAAACTAGAATTTTCTTTAAGAACTCATAAGGGACCTGTTGGCACTGAAAAAGAAATACAATACTCCAACACCAGTCAAGCCTTCAGATGACTGAGAGCCTGGCCCACATTTTGACAACACCTTCCTGAGAGACCCCGAGCAAAAACCATCCAGCTATAAGATGCTCCTGAATTCCCGACATTCAGGAACTGGTTAAAATAATAAATACGTACTGTTTTAAACCATTATATTTGGAAGGAGTTTGGTATGCTGAAGAGTCTTCTATAGAACAATGATTATTTTTCTACTTTATCTGCTTATGTTGTTGGTTAACCTGTTTCTTTCACCATGACTGACATGGAACCCTCTTCTCAGATTAGGCTCAAGAAGTATACACATGTAGGGATAAGAGGCACGTTCTGATGTTAGCCATTGCTTTTATTTAATGTGGGGGCTAAACCACGGCCTAGGTAGTCAGAAGAAACGCATTCTTCTTAATCTGATGGGAAATACGTTATTACCTTGGCCTTCTCTAATCACAACTCTTCCCTAACACGATCTGAAACCCCTGAGGCTAGATGGATCTCAGAATTCAAAATTTTATACATTTCAGAAAAGTACCCTCTCTATATCACACCCTCAGTGAGGTCCGGGGCAGAAACTTGTAATCAGAAATCAGACACGTTAATACTTCTGCAATGATATGTGTGATTATTCACACCAAATGGGATAAAGAAAGACTAGAAAAAGCTTCAGGATTTTCCACTAAATATCTTCAGTGTAGGTTAGAGTTTGTCACCAAGTTAGTTATGAAAACCTTTTGTTTCTCAGAGCTTTTACATTTCAGAACTGAACAAGGGGTTGTAAACCTCTACTGATTTTACACTAAAAGTTTCTTTCCCTCATCTTTTTCTTACGTTTCTTCTTGTGAAAGAGCTATGTAGTTACTACTTTTAGTCTACTAAGAAATGCTTTGTTTAAATAGCTTGGATTTTCACCTACCTATTTCTCAAACCTGATTGCACATTAGAATCATTTGGGGAGCTTTAAAAAACTACTGCTACTTGGGCCCCAACTAAATAAGAATCTCAGGGGCAGAGGTCCAGGCATCAGTATTTGCTGCTGCTGCTGCTGTTGTTCCAAAGGTCCCTAAGTGATCCAGGTTGTACCAGGGTTGAGAATCACTGCTCCATTGAATACGATATCGTAATTTTCCTAAGACTCAACCTTTTAATCTTATAATTATTTCAACTGACAATCAATCTTTACTTTTTATTTTGTTCTCCCCTAATTTAATTCATTTTTAAAGGAACATGGCCTTCACTGTATTTTTGGTATAACATTATGCTATAACACAATCAAATGATGAGATTCAGTTACTGCGTCAGCACTATGACAGACACTATCTACTCAAGCACAAGGAAAATTGCAAGGACGCTTTTTAGGAAGCTTAAACTTTAAAATATAGTCTTCTCAATAGAAAAAGAACTACATAATTCAAAACACACCTGTAGCTTAGGGTATATTTGCTCTTGTGAATATGTAAATAGGAGATAATGATGGGACTGGTAAGACATATCTCAAATTTTTTCCTCTCCCCCAGTTACCCATCAGAAACATGTTGAAATGTTTTGGTTTTCTATTTTCAATAAGCAGCAGGGCTGTTCACAAAATTGTCCTGAAATTCAACAAGAATAAGAGTCAGTCTTGTTTCCAGCACTTTGTCTTCTTTTCTCTCTGGCACTTTAATGGTGCCTTCAGCCTCAAAATCCAAATGCTCGCAAAGCTGTTTTGCATCAACGCCAAGACTTAAGAGGCAACAGAAAGCATCAAATGCAAACTCTGGGTGACAGGGAGTACCTCTGTGGAGAAGTTAACCGAGAAGACATGAGCAGACTTTGTGGAGGAAGAGGCCCTTGAAAATCAAGTGAGAAGCTGGACAGAATGAAGGTCATTTTGGGAGGACAGACCTATAGTGGCAAAGGTCTTAGCTAACCAAAGAGTTGTCCTTACAAACTAATTTTGAACTGAATCACCAATTCACAATTTCCCAAAGGTTTTTAGTAAATCTATTAATTTTAGAGATTTAAATTTTGATACCATGATGGAAATGTTTTTAAAACACAGAATCCATTTTCTCAATTACCTAAATTAAATGTAAGAAACATAATCTAATACTCGTCCATGTTTTATTCTCAAATATATTCACTTTTAAATCTCTATAAAATCTTAAGCTAGTGAGAACTTTAAGAATTCCAGAAGAAACAACACACAAATAAATCTGCTTCTTAAAATAATCAATGTACTTTTTTTTAGGAAAAGATTTGCCCTGAGCTAACATCTGTTGC